AGTTTCTTCATCTGGTCCCAGATCCAGGCCTTTATGGGCGAAGCCCTCCGCGACTACGGTGTGGACGACACCTACTTCCCAATGTTTGTCTCGAAGAACGCCCTGGAGCAGGAGAAGAGCCATATTGCTGACTTTGCACCCGAGGTAAGGTCCGCTGCTGATGACCCCCTCCCCCGAGCGTACGCCTCCCCCCCCACATTCCTTCCTCTCTCTCTTCTATCTTCTCAATTATGTTTTCCTTTTTTGTGTGTGTCTGGTGTTATCCAGGTTGCCTGGGTAACCAAATCTGGTGACTCGGATATGGCCGAACCCATCGCCATTCGACCCACCAGCGAGACCATTATCTATCCGGCGTTCGCCAAGTGGATCAAGTCGCATCGGGACCTGCCCCTCAAGGTGAACCAGTGGAGCAACATTGTTCGCTGGGAATTCAAACATCCCACGCCCTTCCTCAGGTCAGTTAAAAAACGGGTACTCTACATATGCCGAATCGATAACTTGCTACAATCTTGCCATTACCTGCCTCAGTCCCGCATAAAAAACGAACGCGGTAGCGCTAATCTTGAGTCGGAAGTTGCAGGAAGGCAGGGGAAAGAAAGTAATTACTAAGAGTGATTTAGCAGATTTCAATAATTCGTTTGACCCAATTGTTAGAAAATACCCTCCTAGTAATTAAGTATACTTGGTTGTCATTCTGGTGCATTCTACAGTTGTCGCCGAAGATCACGTAACATGTGGACATATGCGAAAGATTGATAATCTTTCGCTAATCGGCATTGACTCAGGTTGTGATACTGATATCGTGTAGTCTATTCTGGAGTCATTTCAGTCGTGATAGGATGCGGACTTTTTAACGAGCTTCGTTCTGATCACCAGCAAAACGTATCGATTACAAAAACTGGCTACTTAAGTAGAATGCCTTTTAATCATTTATTTTAACTGCCGTTATAAATTCAAATATATTTTATGGAAAACGTGCACGAAAAAATTATTCCTTGTACTTGTTTGATAACAAATTACGCCTTCTTTAAATTTTATACTGAAAGAAGGGGTAGCTTTCGGTTTTAAAAAGTTGCTCAATTGTCGAATAATTTTCTAACCTAGTGACTGCTACACCGGAATTCGAGGTTTAAAACCTGCGCACTGTGTACATCCTGTTTAAGGAAGAGTACCCTTTCGCCTACAGTTTGATGAAGAAGTCACATAGTTCTCATAAAATCTTAAAATAGATGTGGAACACATTTTATGCAGTGTAGGCAGCATTAATAAATAGACGGATACGCTGTATTTTGAATAAACACCTCGCAATTATGAAAAAGCTCATAAGTTTCCCTTTTTTGAGTATACAATTTAAAGAGGGCATAAGTTGCTATCAAACAAGTACAATAAATAATTTTTTCATGCATGTTTTCCATAAAATATATTTGAATTTACAAAGGCAGTCAAAATAAATGATAAAAGGACATACTACTTAAGTAGCCACTTTTTACCATAGATACGTTTTGCTTGTGGTCAGAACGAAACTCGTTAAAAAGCCCGCATCCTATCATGACTGAAATGACTCAGAATAGACTATACGATAATCAGTATCACAACCTGAGTCAATGCCGATTAGCTAAAGAGTATCAATCTTTCGCATATGTCCAAATGTTGCGTGATCTTCGGTGACTACTGTAGATTGATTGCTTAGGAAATCCTGTTTGGACAGTCAGCTTGCTGTTCCATATTGGTGGATTCCATACACGTTGCAGTAGCCTGGCAAAATACAACGAGCAGTGTGCTTAGAGTTCAACGCAGTGTCCTCTTGTGATGATGCACTTTGTCGTTTCTTTGTAGAACGAGAGAATTCCTCTGGCAGGAAGGCCACACCGCGTTCGCGGACAAAGCTGAGGCCGAAAAGGAGGTCCTGCAGATCCTCGACCTCTACAAGGACGTCTACGAGAAACTGCTTGCA